TTTTTTTTACTTTTAGGGGCACTTTCTTTGATACTGATTGTAGTCCTCACATAGTTGCGACATTTTAACACACACACACAAACAGACAATTCCACACAATTCCACTAAGAAGATGTTTGAACTTGGGTTTTCTTCTTTGTAAAATTTAGCAAGGATATTTACTTCTGGGGCTGTTGTAAGAAATGAAATAAAATATGTAAATTTTATTAGCACAGAGTACCTAAAAATTATTAGTTCCCTTTCTCCCTAGCTCTGTGTTACCACAAATCCTTGTTATGGTTGTCATACATGTGAAAGTAAACAGAACTAGAAAAATCTCACAATGCTTCAGTTCCAGTGGGATACACAGACAATAAACAAGGACACAGACATAGACAATAAACAAGGACAGACATAAGACAATGTCAGGTAGTGGTAAGTGGCTTGAAAAAAGTTATTGTGGTGTGAAGGGAGAGAGAATAACCAGTGACCCTTACAGACAGGGCTTAGGACAAGTTTTTCTGAGTAATAATGTTGCTCAGACCCCTTGTTGTGAATTATTTCTCTTGTGTTTGTTCAATAAGGGCTGGTAGAGATAATCTCTCATGATTATCTGATCTTGGGATAAAAAATGTCAGCCTGAGTATGAGAATTGTTCTCCCACTTGAAAAAAACAAAACAAAACACTACTAACATGTAACAAGTCTACTTGAATCTTGTCCTTTATAAATTGAAAAGTATGTTTGTGTTTAGTCAAGAAGTGCCAAAGGGAAAAATGTTCATTACCCTCATCTTCCTAAGTAAAATAGAGTTCTTAAATTGAGCCCCAGATGGTAAACCTACCTAGGTTTCAACAGCATAAACCAAGATAAGGTAGTGTGGGCTGCCTCACCCTACTCTTATGTTATGTAGCCTTGGGAGAGGAGAGAGACCAGCCTGAAAGCCCAAAGAGGGAGAAGGTGGGAACAAGACCTTCATCCAAAACTGTCTGAGCTCTGATCACAGACTGAAGAAGCTGTTAGAGGCTTTCACCTCTATCCTTTCAGCAGGATAGGTACAAAGATACAGGAACTTCTTAAGCATTAGTCTTTATCCTCTTATTCTTCCTGGAATAGAGCAACTGGTAACTAAGCAAGCAATAGGCTGGGTGGAGCTGACAACATCCACCCTGAGGGGAAGTCAGTCAAAACTATGAGGTTATCTGTCTTAAGGCAGGGTGGGGAAATAGGGTTCTGGACAATTGATTTATTTTTCTTTTTTTCTTTAAATCCCCAATGAATGTTTCATTTTAATACTCAATAGTAGACAGTGTCTAATTCAGTTTAACTATGCATGAGAAACTGAAAACAACTTTAAATGTTTGAAATGGGCCAAAAGAAGGTGTGGTCCTACAAAACCAGAGGAAAATGATTAATCAGACAGACTTGTCCCTAGTCACTTCCTTGGCCAGCCAGGGCACCAGGACCATGTTGTCCTGCTGGAGGGTCACACTTGTATGCTGCAGTTATGAGTGCACTGGCTGCAGTGTTTCCTGCGGACATGCCTGGCACAAGTTCCACTCCATGAACTAGGGGATCTTGCAACCAACTGCAGGGGAAGTTAGAACTGCTCTCTTAAGCTTAGGCTCGTGCTGTCTGTCTGCCTTGCCAATCACAAAAACCATACTTTCTTAGCAAATTGTAGATTTTTCAGTAACTCAGTCTACCTAGGATCTATTTACAGCTTCTCTGTACCTGGCATCATGCTAAACATCAAGAGACAAATAAGATCCAATACAGGAACAAGTATAAAGGACACATGGACAAAAACTAGAGGGGGGGCGTAGAAATGGGAGGGAGGTGGGGATGGATGGGTGGGTGGGCTAGGATGGGAGTAAAGGACAGAAAACTGTACTTGAACAATGATTAAAATAAAATAAAATAAAATAAAATAAAATAAAATAAAATAAAAACAATACCTGTTCTCAAATACTTCAGAATATATTAGGAGAGATAGAGACAGAAGTAAATACTGATGGGACAGAGTTGTGGAAGCTCAGAAGAGGTACAACTGATTCTGCCTGAGGAATCCAAGGAAGGCTCCATAGAAGAAGCAACATATGTGCAGGTTCTTGGAGGAGGAGATAGAGAAATAGGGTAAGGAGGATAAAAGGGAAGAAATATGTCAAGATTTCATGGGTATGAGAAAAGGTAGTGTTCAGGAAAGAACACAGCAATTGAAGCATGACATTTTGGACCCTAAGAAAGGAGATATTTACCAAGAATAGTTCCTGGTAGCTAACTAGGCTAAAAATTTAAAAAAGAGCCTAGTAACGATTTCTACACAGGGTCCTCTTACACAAACTGCACTTCAGGGAAAAGCCTGCACTGAACTGCCTGCCTCCTACACTGACCTGCCTGCCTGCACTGTATTCTTGCTTCCTGAGCTAGGCCTTATAATTGTTTATAAATTGAGCCCCAGATGGTAAACCTACCTGGGTTTAGAACAACATAAACCAAGTTCCTGAAATTATATTTTAACAAGTAAAACCAAGGCTTCCCCTGTCCAGTTGGAAGTTCACAGATATATCCTCATCAGTGATTTCCAATCAGAGCAGCTCCATTCTGACCAATTAAACTGCAAGGATTTGGTGTCTTTATTTGCATTTGGATGAATCAATCAAAGACCAAAGGTGGGGACTTTTGTCCATATAAGTTAGCTTCCCTCTGTCTCGAGAAGTATGCTTTCCCTTTCCACCAAAGACTGAACACTGCATCTCCCCAGCTGGAGCTCAAACACGAAGACATCTCAGATGTCTTGCCAGACCCAAGTGGAGCTGTCTAGTCCCAGGGCTGCCTCACAGACTTGCCATCTCTTATTTGACCTGTAAGGCTGTTGAGCTGTTTTTATAGTCTATTTTCACAGCATGCTGTAATTGAGCTGTTAGCATTGAATGAAATTTCCTTCACTGCACCCCAAATTGGTGATTTCTTTCAGTGTTGAATTGGTGCCAGTGACCACTGGTTGACAGCCTGATGGTCAATTTTATGTGTCAAATTTGCTATGCTATAGTACCCAATTATTCAGTCAAACACTGAATAGTTGCTGCTGTGAAAATATTTTGTAGGTGTGTTTATTATTTACGATCAGTTCACTTTATGATACAGGGATTATCCTGGATTATCTGGATGAGCTTGGCCCAATCAGTTCAAAGACTTTAAAAAAGGAACTGAGTTCTTCCTGAGGAAAAAAAAAAATATTTCTCTTGTAAACAGCAGCATCAGCTCTTGCTGGAGAGTTTCCACCCTGCCCTTCCCAATCAGACTTGCTTACCCAGCTTCCACAATCACATAACCCAACAAATACCTTAAGTCTCTTCATATGTGCATAATCCTTCTGGTTCTGTTTCTTTGATAAAAACCTGACTGATATACATGGGAAGGAGGAAGGATTGAATGGGTGAAGGTGGGGTGGGCAAAACTGAATGGACAGTTCACAAAGTTAGCAATTCATAGTAAAGGCAAATGATCTTTGAAAAGCATTTCTATCAAGAAAATAAAAAACTATGAACAGTAAAATGACAACAAACTCATAACTATCAACAACTGAACCTAAAAATAAAAAACAAAACTAAGAAAACAACTAAAACAGGAACAGAACCAGAGGAATGGAGATCACATGAAGAGTTTTCAGTGTGTGGTCGGCGGGGGGGAAGAATGGGAGGAGAAAGGTACAGGGAATAAGAAGCATAATTGGTAGGTACAAAATAGACAGGGAGACGTTATGAATAGCATAGGAAATGTAGAAGCCAAAGAATTTATATGTACAATCCATGGACATGAACTAAGGGCGGGGGAAATGCTGGAGGGCTGAGGTGTGAAGAGTAGAGGGGGGTGAAAGTGGGGAAAATTGGGACAACTGTAATAGCATAATCAATAAAATATACTTCTTAAAAAGTGTTTCCATCATCAAGGGAATGGAAAATAGACAAAAATGAGGGGATAAAACAAGAGAAAAACCAATCATCACATCAAGCCCTGCCATTCATTCACTCTATCTTCAACCCATAAATATCTCCAATTTTATCTATTCCTTGTAGCATTTCTTTTGAAAATAAAAACTGACGCATCAAAATTACAGCTAAACTACAGAACAACCATAAATTCTTACGTGTCTGAAATCTAGCTGAGTGGAAGCCACATCAAGACTGGTAGGAAGGGTGAAGATGTGGCACAAGCTGGTCCCACACCCAAGTGTGGCAGATAAAAATAGATATTGATGTGAGCTGCAGAGGTCCCCTTTGAGGAACAAGGAGTCCCAGCTCCACACTAGGTCTCACATCCCAGAGTTCCAGTGCCAGGAAGAGAAGTCCCCACAACTTCTGGCTGTAAAAACCAGTGGGGATTGTGACTCAGTGACACACAAAGCTTCTAGAGTCTCAGGAAGTTTCTCTTAAAGAGCCCACATGTGTACCTACTAAAACTCCCTCTGAGCTCCAGCACTGTGGCAGCAGCTTGAAAGGAACCAGGAGTATACAGGGAGTAATTGAAATGTATGGTTTCAGGATGAGAGCTAGAGGGGAGATTTCTGACTGACAAAAGTGTAAGAAGATGCCACTGTTCCTTTTCTGAGCTCTCCCCCAACAGAGCCAACAGGCAGGTGCCCTATCTGAATCTCTATCAATTTAGCTCATAATGTTCACCCCACCCTGATGATTCTCTGAGTTCCCACCCCACCCCACTTGCAGGCCCACTGAAGCTATTTCCAGTGGTTTTTTCTTTCCTTTTTAAAAAATTTTATTTATTTTTAGAGAGAGGGGAAGGGAGGAAGAGAGGGAGAGAAATATCAATGTATGACTGCCTCTCATGTGCCCCTACTGGGGACCTGGCTTACAAGCCTGGCCTGTCTTGGCTCATGCTTCAGACTTTCCTAAAATCTCTCAGACAAACAGCATCTGGCATGAGCATGCCCTGTACTTCTTGCTCAGTGGCCTTAGGCCCAGCATTAGCAGCAGCCAGGCTTGGTCTGCCGATTAGACTCACCTGAGCACCTCCAAGCCTAGCACAAGTAGCAGCCATCTTCAGATCACTGTGTAGCTCAGTCGGATGGTCCTGAACAGGACACAAGCAGTGGCTGACCTTGACCTGCACTTCATGGGAGGCCCCAGAGCCACCACACCCATTGGACAGATTCAGACTATATTGAAGCACCATCCAACCACCTCCACAAGTGACACACTCTTGGAGCAGATTCAGAGGGCACCAGAGCCCCACTGAAGTGACTCCTGCTCTGTGGGAACCACTGTACAGGGGTGGGTTCCTGCACAGCTGTTCCTCCACAGTGGTCAGTGGTTGCAGCCGGTCCTTACAGCCAAATAGCCTGGGGGAAATCCTTATTACTGATGTGCCAACAGCAACCAAGGCTCAACTATAACAGGAGAGTGCACACAGCTCACATGGGGTCATACCTGGAGTGCCCAGCTTGGGTTACCAGGGAGTCTATGCCACTGGACCCTACAGAACACCTACTACATAAGGCCCTGCTACCAAACCTGAGAGATATAGCAGCTATACCTAATATATAGAAACCAACACAGAAAGGCTACCAAAATGAAAAGACAAGGAAATATGTCCCAAATGAAAGAACAAAATAAAACTCCTGAAAAAGAACTAAAGAAAATGGAGACAAACACTCAAGCAGATGCAGAGTTTAAAACACTTGTGACAGGGATGATCAATGACCAATGAGAACTTCAATAAAGATGTAGGAAACATAAAAATGGAACTAGAAAGCATGGAAAAGAACCAGTCAGAAATTAAGAATACATTACAACGTATTAACAATGGAGTAGGTGAAGTAGAGGATCAAATCAGGGATTTGGAGGATAAGAAAGCAGAATACACCCAATTAGAACAGCAAAAACAACAAAGAACCCAAAAGAATGAAGATAGCATAAGGAGCCTCAGAGACAACTTCAAGCATACCAACATCATGGGGGTGGTGAAAGAAGAGAGAGCACAAGAAATAGAAAACTTATTTAAAATATTAACAACAGAAAATGTCCCTAACCTGATGAAGGAAATAGACATAGAAGTCCATGAAGGACGGAGATTCCCAAACAAGATGAACCCAACAGAGGCGTACACTGATACATCATAATTAAAATGCAAAAGGTTAAAGACAAAGAGAAAACCTTAAAAGCAGTAAGGGAAAAGCAGTTAGTTACCTACAAGAGAGCTCCCATAAGACTGTCAACTGATTGTCAACAGAAATTTTGCAGGCTGGAAGGGAGTGGCAAGAAATAATCAAACTTATGAGAAGCAAGGACCTGTAACCAAGAGATGGTATGATCCTCGGTCCCCGAAATTACTGTTAGCCCATTCTCTTTTCGTTTTAAATTTCCTCACTCTAGATACCGAGGGGCGCTCTGCAGCTGACCGTCATTGGAGCCCACGTATGAGTCAATACCCACAAGTTTATTGGAGAGATCCCATTGACGGGTCACGCCATGGCCCAGACCCAGTATTAATATGGGGAAGAGGGTATGTGTGTGTTTTTCCTACAGATGCTGAGACTCCTCGTTGGCTGCCTGAACGCTGTGTTCGTCATGCACCCAGTCACTTGGGAAGACAACGAGTTCATTCCAGTTTATGTCAACAACACCCAGGTACTGGGCACCCCTTCCGTCGGACACGTGATACCAGTGAGTGCGATGGTCAATTATTCAGGCATATCTACGACGCAGCCGCTTTGCTTCTCCACCTCTCTGGCAAACTGTACTCTTATTCAGAGGTATGAGGACTGAGACAGTGACTTTAGTAATGGGACTCACTGGGGTGTTGATATGCTGTATTTGAAACGCAACAATACCTCCGCCACGATTGGCATAGGAACTCCCCCTGCCGACATTCCAACTTGCAGAAGTCGGACCCCATCGCCCAGCCAATGGGGACCGGCCTGGAGGATTTGCCATCTCAATCAAACAGTTTGCGACCAAGGGGTTTGTGACTGGAGTGACTTTCGCAACGGCTCGTTGCGGCCTCAAAATCTTCTCTACGGAATTTGTACCAAAAACAATAGAACCTATCAGACTATGTTGTGGAAAGCTGTGGCCTCTCTTCAGTATATTACCGTGGCAAAGAGAGCGGTCCAGTGGATGCACATAGGAGCTCAGGACGCCATCTCTTGGTCTGGAAATCAGAAGAATGTTTCTGTGATAGCTTGTGTACCCGACCCTTTCGACATGGAAATTCCCCGTCCCCTCAATAGGGAACATAATACCTGCTCAAAGAGTTCCCTCTCGGTAGAAAGTGAAACCCCCATTTTTATTAGCTCTCTTCGTCTACTCCCTGCTACTTTCGCTTTTTCTTTTTCTTTCGTATACTTACTGGGCCCCTGTAGCAGCGGTCCTGTCAGGCTCTGCTGTCGTCAATCTCAGGACTCTGGTGGTCCCCCCGAAGACCTCTGGTTCCGGTCCCTTGTTCGGGCGCCACTTGCCTCGGCCAGCGAGGCAGTGGGTTCGAGACGCGCAGTGACGGACTGAAAAGAGAGAGCGACCAGTTGCTCTGGTGGCAAAAGGCAAGTTTATTGAAAACTCCTGTCATTATATAGTGAGATGTTCTAAAAATAGAATGCTTGCTAGACGATGAGAGTCTTTGTTCAAGAAAGTTTACACACCCCTTCAGGTCACGTACAGAACATCCTGGTTTAGATTAACTCCAAGGACACGACGCATCGCCCCAAGGCTCCGGCACCTCCCCGTCCTTCTCTTGGGAACAATCCGATAACACACAAGGCCGGGGTAGTGTCAGGTCACCTCCCCCGAGGCCAAGGAACAGGCCCAAGCATCATTCTCACAATGCAGGACCCTAACTCTTGACCCCTTCCTGGGGGCTTGGTTCCCCACATGTCAACTGATTGTCAACAGAAATTTTGCAGGCTGGAAGGGAGTGGCAAGAAATAATCAAACTTATGAGAAGCAAGGACCTGTAACCAAGATTATGCTACCTAGCAAAGCTATCATTTAGGATTAAAGGACAGATAAAGAACATTCCAGACAAGATAAAGCTAAAGGAGTTCATCACCACTGAACCAGTATTACATGAAATGTTAATGAGTCCTCTTTAAGAAGGAGGATGGGGGGAGGGGAGGAGGAGAAGGAGAAGAAGGAGGAGGAAGAGGAGGAGAAAAGAATTCACTCCTTAGGTATTAAGAAGCAATGATGCAAGACACATTTCAAGAATAATAGCATGAGAAGCTTCATAGACATTCTCTAGAAAATTAAAAACAAAATTAAGTGAGTAAAAATTATCCTAAAGACATACAGCAAATGAAGACACATTTATCCAACAAAATCTACTAATCTCAGTAAGAAAGTCTGTGGCATTTAAACCTTGACCTACTCCCTCCCTCCCCAGCTCATTGAAACTTTACTCTGGGTATGTGTAGCCAAAAAAAAATAGGACTCCCTTCTTCCACAGCTTCTAGTTTAGGGCTATAGTTTCACCCTAGGAGGAGCAGACCACCACCATTTCTAAACCCAGTAAGCTTGGCTGAGAAGTCTGAGGTTCCTTTCTTCCACCTAGCCTCTACAATCTCTGTCCCAGGAAGAGCAGACCAAGGATACTACCAAGGATACTACGGTGAAGGTTTTGGTGAAAAGGATACTACATTCTGAATTTCCTTACTCCTGATCACTGGCAGGGTGGAAATTCCATGCAAATAGAGAAAATTCAATGACAGAATAGCAAAAGAACAGGAATTACTGCCCCATTCATAGAAAAAGGAAAGTCATCTGAGAAGCACATGTCACTATTCAATGCTCCAGAGAAGTGTCATAGAGCAGCACTCCCCAACATTTCTAGCACCAGGGACCAGTTTCATGCAAGACAGTTTTTCCATGAACTTCAGGGGTAGGGGGGGACAGGAATCAGAGCTCAGGTAGTAATGTGAGTGAAGCTTCGCTCTCTTACCCGCCACTCACCTCCTGCTGTGCAGTCCAGTTCCTAACAGGCCATGAACTGGTACCAGTGTGCAGCCAGGGGTTGGAGAACTGTCATAGAAAAGCTGCTTAAAAAAATACAGGCCACAAGAAAAGATCTCCTAAAGGATTTGATTTTATTTAGAAGAGCAAGGGGAAGTACAACCAAAAAGTTGCTGTAAGAAAACGGTGAAGGTTTTGGTGAAAAGCAGTTAAAAGAAGGATGGCAGATTAATCTGTTAGAGAGCATCAATCTAAACCAAAGACCAATCAAATGTATTCAATATAAACCAAGGAAGGAGACAGCTAAAAAGTGCCTTCTTGGGTTAAAACAAACTTTAAAAACAGGTCCCAAATACTATTAATGTAAAGCCCAAATTTACTTGGATTAAACTGTGAAGAAAATTATGTCCTAGGAAACTGTCAAAAACAACAGAGCAATCAGCCATCAATTAGTGGTGGCTAATTATGAGGTATGGTGCCAAAAGAGGAGGAAGACTTGACAGAGTAGAAAAAGAGATGGTCAAAGAGACCACTGCTAGAAATCTTGTCATACTAATTTGAGAATACACATGCCCAAGGCTATCCACAAGAGATGTGACATCAGAGACCCCACATATTGTAGAGGAAATAGACTTCACCATCTAGTATAGTAAAGGCAAAAATTAAACAATAAACAATCAAATTACAAAACCCAAAGAAATTAGAAGAAATTAGTATCCAAGGTTGCCAAAAATATTATCTAACACATACAGTTTTTAACAACAAAAAAAATTATGACACATGAAGAGAAATAGGAAACTGTGGCCCATACAGAAGAAAAAAGGCAAGCATCAAAATCTGCCTTTGAAAGAGTCCAGATGTCACACACGAAAAAAAAAAACTTTGAATCAACTATTTAAAATATATTAAAAAACAACTAAAGCAAACCATGATTAAATAGTAAGGAAGGTATAAGAGGGCTTGTGAATTAGAAAACAACAATACATAGACAATGTTTCATTTAAATAATCTTTATTATATTTTTTCCATTACCATTTAGTCCCCTTAGATGTCCCTCCCCATAGCAATCACCACCCTATTGTCCATGTCTGAGTC